CTATTTTACCTTTTCGCAATGTCAACTGCAAATTCCGGAAGGGATAACTAACCAAAATGCAAAACAGAAACGCTGCCGTTTTGCTAATGTAATTAACCAGTCTGCAAGTGAAATGCACGAAAGCAAGAAATTAGTAAGGAAATAGAGTAAGGAAAAAATGGTAATGCTTCGAAATAGAAAGGGGTAAGAAAATTACAAACTGTTGGTACAAAATGTCAACTTAAACTTTTTATGCACAACAGGGAATGGAAAAAATCGTACAAAAATAGAAGGAGCATCAGCAGCTGTCTTGGTCAGAAGGTGGCTAATTACACTGCACAGCAAACAAAGAAATGAAGCAGAGAAAACAAGATGGAAGGGAAAAATTAAATGCAGTCCCTCGGGAAGCGAAATTTGTTTTGGTGAAGACATTAAACAGAAGCCAAAGCGGAAAATTCCGGGCACGTAGGAGTCACAAAAAATAGTAATACAGAATTAATTAAAACAAAAATTGCTTAAGGAAATTGCATTTTATCTATATTATTGCAGATCCCGAGACGGGGAAAATTACGGAGCTTGTCAGCAGCACATGATGCAGAAATACAAAACAGCCACAGAACAATAACAGAAAACAGAGAACAGAGACCGGCAAACAGTTCGCCCATATTCAGTAAAGTTTCGTGTGTTTTGCATAAAGTTTTGTGGATCTGAAAACCAAACATTTATACATGGCAGCCACTTGAATGTAACAAGCCAAAGTTCAAAGCTCAAACTTTTTCCCACACTTCAAACACCGAAGTAGCAACATTGTTGTGCCCCATATCAAATATCTACGGAAGCATGTGGTGCATTGAGTGTGGTCAGGGTGGATCAAGTTGGACAAGCGAAAACTTTGGCTTGCATAAAGGCAGAGGTGCGAGTTCTATTCCCCAGAATGGATGGGAAAATTGTATTTTCTAACTAAAAGTCAGACACCTTTAAAAAGAATTACTAGTTGACATATACGCGTGGCTGTATTAGATAAACTTATTTTGTGGCTAGGATTTCTAATATTTGTATAGTTAATATATTTTTCAAATCGTCATAATATCTATGAAGGCTTAATTAGCATTTCAAATGCCTACACACAAAAAAAACATTTCGCGGTCAAATCTGAAAGACATATTCTAAATTCGAACAGGCCTGTTATTTACATTTTGAGCATATCAAGTCAAATCGCATAAAGTAAAATCGATCATCGTTTCTTATAAGTTTTTTTGGGTGTAAGTATAAAATATTAAATAAAAACATTAACTTTTATTGTTAAAAAAATTAATCTTGTTATAGTTATATAAATATTATCATATCATAATATTATATTAATATTTAAATTTTAAAAAAGAATTACATATATATATTCCCCCAATCGCATTAAAGGCTTTTAATTTGTCTGCTTGCAAAAGAGTGAAGAATTCAAAAGAGCAATATTCAAACGGATAAAAGTCTTCAATTATCAAAAGGTTTCAATCTGTCTAACAGAGCGAACTTTATTTTACTGTCCTTAAATACATCCCATTGCTTAACCCTTAAGTAACCGCTAAGTGTTTCAGTTTTTAAGCCTATTAGACCTCTAATAAACCTGCGTTTGAAGATAAATAAGATAAGTCATTGGACCCAAAGAATTTTAAAATAAAATGTTAAAGAGTTGGCATTTTAATTACTAGCAAAGAGCAGTAAACAATTGGATAGAAAAGCCATTAGGGATGGCAACGACTCGTTCCCCCAGCAAGAACAAATAAAGATACAGATATAAATGCCAGACTCTGTCAGTCAGATTTCAAGCTCAACTAATGAGTGACCATGCATAAACAAAAAATGAGGGGGAAAATGGGAATTTGGCCTTAAGTCCATTGCCATGGACGAGCACCTTGCCCTGGGAGACGCTTGAATGTCTCAAGTCAAGCGACTCCCTCGGCCAACACTTATTTTAATGAGAAATTCTAATTTCACCAATAACACAAAAGACGTCCTGGAAAAATGCGCAAACAAAAAAATAAATAAAGAAATGTAGCGAAAGATATTTTTGCCTTTCCTGGCAAGGAGCTGCCGTGATTGCTTTTCGCCACTCGTCCGTGACGAAAACAAAAGAGGCCGAACCCCGAACGGAAAAAATACGAATTGCCTGCATAAAAATATCTTGAGTATTTGCTAGTCTGCAATTAAATGAGGGCTCGGATCTCCTGTTCCTCTCAGCAAGGAAAGGAGGTGACTGAGCTTAGCAATAATAATTACAGTTTGGATGAGTTTGGGGTTCCATCGGTGAAGTGTTGCAGGGGCTAAAGTTCTTCTCCCTCAAATGGGAACGGGTGATTTTGGGGGAATCAACAAGGAGTTCCGGGCATCAGCAAGTCAGAACTCAGGACTGACAAGATGGATAACCTGAAGACCATATTAAATTCTTAAATAGGAAAAAATTATGAATCTTAAGTTAAGTGTCATATTAATACAGTGGCAGATACAGAAATTGGTTAAGGGAGGGATTTAAAAACTCGTTTTTTGTTGCTTACTTTTTGAATATCATATTTGCCAATCCGTGCATGTTTCAATTATTAATACCCATTTATTTAATGCGTGTTAAGATCGAAACTTTGAAAAAGATGGAACATAAAAACGGATTAAAAAAAGTCTAAGTCTAAGGATATAAATTTAACTAATACACCACACAAGAAGGAAACGTACATCGCAATGCATTTCACAAAGGGGGAGATATTGAAGGGAAGATACTCCCCCTTTCGGAATGTTCCACAATAATCAAGCAGGACTAAGGCAAGTCGAATTACAGTTACAGTTAAGGTAACGGTAACGCATGGCAATGTCCATAAAATGACACTGAGTGTCAGTTTCAATTAAACATGTTGACAGCTGTAAGGACACGGCCTGAACTCGGGGGCCAGCCGAAATATTTACTCCCTCCCCCCCATATCACAGATATACTATTGTCCATGTCTGGGGTGGATTCCTGCCCCCGGGCTATTTCGATTTTAATACGAGAAATTCCTGGCATTGTCGCCTGGCCATAAAGAAGTCGAAGGGAAAACGTTAAAGGAGCCGAACTCGTATGACAACTTTATCGGCTCGAAAGAAGAATATTTGCTGAGATTTTCAGGTTGCTTCTAGACGTTGACATCTTATGCCTTTTTGACACTAGTTTTAAAAGGATGCTTTTCTTGGACTTGTAATTTGTATTTAACAATAGGTAATGTGTTTATTTTGAGACAAAAGGTAAAGTAAAATAACATTATTTAAGATTTGGAAATCAAGTATAAGATAATAGCACAATCATAAAAAACTGTCAAAAGCTTAACGAAATGTAAAAAATATAATAAAGTTATAAATTCGCACAAAAACCCAAATATTTTTTCCGATTTGTGAATAAATCCTGTGAACTTCGCTTAACATTCAAGTCAGTGCTATAAGGTCCTTTCATAATTTTGGCATCTGCATGCCTTGCGACGACTTTCATTTTTTGACAGGAGGCAAAGGAATTCAGTGCAATTTTAAGTAATTTTATGTGTATTTGTTTTAATTTACATTCGAAATGAACGATGAGATTTTCTTCGGCAATTTTCTGCCTTGTCCTTTTTAGTCTTGATGCATTGACAACTTGTCAAACATTCTAATATCCGGTTTGGTTTTGGTTTGTGTGCATGATGTCGTGATGTGAGCTCCATGGGGGAATTTAGTTTAATTAAACTGCCCATGTATGAAGGCAAATACAACCATTTTACTGTTTGCATATTAATTTCCTGTAATTCTAATTGAAGGTGACAGAAATTGGCCGTAGTTTTCAAGTAATCTCAGACGGATAATGAACAAATGTCTCTACTTTACAGTTAAACATTGTTGGACCCTTAGATATCAATGGTAATATGGTAATGAAATGTTGTTGCAACTAGGATTTTCGGTTTTGCTAATGAAAATCCTTATCCATAATGAAAAATCATTATTACTATTTTATGAATGTGGCATTAGGCGAAATTTTCGATTATTTTAAAGCGCAAATGAACTTATGACTCTTGAACCAGGCATCAAAAGCCTTTTTACACTTGAACAAGCCATCTAAATAATTCTCTTTACCCTCCCCATATTCATTTATTTTAAATTTTTCCAGATTCTTGAGGGTGGAAAGTAAAACCACTTGATGTCATTTTGACGCCGACAGCCAGTGACTTTTTTCCAGTATTTGCCCAAAATATTAGCGTAATGCCTTTGACAAATCAATCGGTAAGCGATTGACCTGGGAGACAGAAGGCTAAGTGTCATTAACCACACCCTCAATGGGCGTTGGTCACACCTCGTGCCAAAATTATTTGCCCAGATTGCTGGCAGAATTGGGATAAAAGAACTTGTTGACGGTACGGATCAAACGAGACCGAAGCTGTGATAAAGAGGTCTTGAAAAGCATTCTGATTGATTTGACAATCCTCAAAATTAAAGACCCAGCAGAAAATGTGCAAAGATTAATCGTTAAAAAAACTGCCTCTAATTAATGCATTTTAAATTATGCATTGTTATATTTAAACGCATTCTTTGCAATTGAAACTTTAAAAAATTCTTGATTGATTGATTAAAAAAACGTCTATAATTTAAATCAAAATCAACATTATACGAAAAGGGCAAAAAAAACAACCACATTTTGTAGCTCCGCAAAAAACCCTTTACAAACCGAATCACAGAATATGCAAAATTGTATTGCATAATTCCATGGGGAATCTGTAACTCTTATTTTAACAGGTGACGCATCTTGGCAACACGTGTTCTTCGCAGTTAAAGAATGGAAAAGTTTTAAGGGTGCGTAGGTGGCTATAACCTATTTTAATTTAAGTAATCCTTATACTTATTTCGGCAGGCCTTAAATCGGGACTAGCCTTTATAATATAAATGAACTAAATCAATTTAAACCAAAACAAATCAAGTATGTACATATTTAACTGTCATTAAAAAAGAACCCAATTGAGCAATCATTTTAGAACTGGCTTAAACTCAAGTCGACATTATTTGTACAGTCTCGAGAATTTTCTAATAAACATCTATAACAACATGGCTTCAAATCTGAACCCACTTGCAGTCTCTGCATCCAACACAGAAGTGACCCAACAGATATCCAAGTCTATTTCTGAGGGAATAACCAATCTGATCCTGTGGCGCAATTGGCGAAAGTCGATGTTGATATTCGTAGCCCTCCAGTCCCTAGTCTATGATCTATCATCTGGGTCGACAATATCCGTGGTGAACCTATGGGCTGTGACTGGCCTATGGATAACGATCATCTACCGCTTCTATGTGCGGTTCCTTCAGTGGATCAATAAGACCGATATCCCCGGAAATCCCTACCAGAAATATCTTGACATGGATATCAGTATTTCCCCAGAGCAATCGAAACAGCTGGGAGTCTTGTTCTCGAACAAAATCGTTTGGTTCCTCGATAATCTACGAACGATTTTATTAGCAGAGAATCTATGGAAATCGTTCAAAGTGTTCATCTTTCTAGGTGGCATGGCCCTGGTTGTGAAGATGGTAAACTTCACCATTTTGTTCCATGTTGGTAAGTAGTAGCCTATTATAAATAAAAACGTAAATTATATTTTGTACTTATTATATAGGGTTCGTTATGCTTTTTACAATTCCCAAAATTTATGAAATGAAACCGCTGCTAATGAAATTTCCAAAGTTCCGTAAAAGTAAAGATCAAGTCAAGTCCACTGAATTAACTATTACATCCAAAACCCAAGTCAAGTTAGACACGAATATTTCAAAGAAACCTGTTAAAGATTTTTGTCAAATAGTTTTAACGCCGAAAATTAGGGAAACCTCATTGGAATCAGATGAAACCCAGGAATCCTGTGTTGCGGACGATGATCTTCAAATGAGTTCATTAAAACAGTCTGATAAGGATTGTGCTAAAATATTTTTAGAGCCCTCGTTCGATACAGATAAATCCCAGGAATCCCTTGTTGGGGACGATGATCTTAAAATGAGTTTACTAAAGCAGTCTGATAAAGAACTTAATAAAATAAGTGCGAAGGTTACGGAAGGAGCATTCGATTCAGATATAATACAGGAACCCTGTGTTACGGACAATGATCTTACAGACATGAAATTATCAAAGCAGACTGATAAGGAATTAAAAAATATAATTGTAAAGGATGCAGAAGGTAATAAGTTCGATTCAGACAAGACTGTGGAATCCTCTGTTGTATACGATGATCTAACAATCATGAAATCTTCAAAGCAGTCTGATAAAGAATTTTATAAAATATTTCTAAAGCCGGAGGATGCGGAACACTCACTCGAATCAAATATTACCCAGGATGATCTTAAAATCTTAAAAACTGAAGAAGAAGCGTATGATGAGTTCGAGCGTCTTGCCGATTGGGACGATGAAGACACTCTAATTGACCCAACAAATCAATAATTCCGCATTCCAATCTCTATCCATAAATTTTGCAGCAAAGTGGAAAATATATTTCGATGGAATCAAGGTATTAAGCCGAACTTTTGCTGAATTAATTATGCCGGAAAATACTATGTTTATAATAAAATTATTAATTTTTGAACCATTTATTCTGGTACTTAAGGAAATGAACATGAAAATAATTTTAGGATTAACTTAACTTATGGGGTTTACCTTGGTTTTCGCCACATATATTTATGAATATCAAAGTGGCTTAAAAACTTTTAACAAATTCCGAGTCTTATGTTAATATAGAAATTACTTATTAAGGATCCTATTATTTTGTGTTAACTTGAACCACTGCTATCTTCTCCGTCGTCAACAAATTGAAAGGCCCTTCTGGCCTGGATAGCTCGATAGGGTCCTTGTTTTTCCCCTGTTTTGGGGGGAGAATTACGAATTCTTGATACTGCGATCTCATTCTTCGGGGAGTAGTTTGCCTTAAATCTCTTCAAGAACGGCGGAATGGGCGGAATGACACCGTCCGATTGGAAGGGCACAATTCCCTGGATGTGTTGCGGTCGCAGCAAGCTGCATAGCTGGCGAAGATGCATCCTCGTCGGTGTCGGCGACCACTTAAGGTCCTTTATATTTAAGGAAACTACATTTCTCGGTCGACAAATAAGCTTAGCGTCCTCCAAGGAACCGTAGACATAGACCCGTGGAATATAGTTATTTCTCTGAAAACGCTCCAGGTCAGGACTAAGGCACTTATAGCTTTCAGCCAGCTTTTCATGTAGTCGGATGTGTCCTTTGAGACGCGTGTGTGCCAATCTCCAGAGCATCTCCTCGTAGCCAAATAGCGGAACACCCAGATGAACCACGCTGTTGTTATTCATAGTTCCATGATCCTCGATAGAAATGGCCATCTCATCGAAATCAACAGGGGCAAACGGCACGTTTACAGCAGAGAGATTGAGATACAGCTGCTCGGTTCCCTCGGCGATCCATGAGTTGAATGCGGCGTTGCCCAGCAAACGGCCGAGATTATCGAGCCTCATTGCCGAGTAGCAGTAGAGCAATCTTCCTCCCTGCTGCCGCCGGATGAGCAGGATGAGGCTGTGGCCCAGATGACTGCCGGAGCAGAGCATCGCCTCCAGACGTTTTCCGTCGCTGAGGATTAGTGGAAAGGGCTGGCCCTCCTCAACCACATGGAAGTCCTGCCTCGTAATATTCGCCTTGAGCGGCTGCAGGTACTTAAGCAGCTGGGCGGCCAGCGCATCTGTGGTGTACATCCGGCAAAACCGGCGCGGCAGCTTTTCAAGATGCTTCTGCACATGACACAGGCTGGTAACAAACACCTTAAAGTGAGGATCGTACATCTTGGGGATCACATCCAAGTGCAAGTCCGGGTGCTCCTTTGGCCGCATGGCGATTCTGGTACTTCAAGGATGGGCTGCAAGTAAAAAAAGACATACCAAAATGTATTGCAGAAATTAATTGTATTCCCTGTGGTAATTTTATTAAATTTAAAAATATTTTTCGACCCAACTGGTAACATCAACGACATACTTTTGGGTTCATAAACTAAGTCAATAATATTATTTTAAATGAATAATTCCGAACAAATAGTAACATTATAATTATTCGAAAATACGTATTTGAAAGCTATGTATGTATTTCCTCTTGCCTTATAAAAAGGCCAAAAACCAGCAGTTTAAGGTCCTTTTTGTTGGTATTCTTATGAAGGGGAGCATTTTCGGGAAGAGATTCGGAAAAACCTTTCAGTAGAAAACTACTCTTTTTATTGCGGTAACTTAAAGTTAGAATATTGTGTGATTTCTTTTACATACTTATTTATGTAGCCACATATTTTAAGAATTTAATCTTCTTGCGAGATTAAAAAATGTTTGTAGTCGTATATTTTAAGAATTTCAGTTTAAGATAATATTTTCAGGTTGTAAACTTGTTGTTTTCTCGTAGTAACTTCCTGGTAATAAATTTTAAGGAAGTTTGCAGAGTTCCTTCAAACATCTTCCAACTTCTTATATCACTGAGATGCATACATATGATGAAGGGGCATGAGAGACTGGGGTAGTTGCACTATGAATAATTTTTGTTACCCATTCTGAGTGACGACGCTGCACTTTTATGGGCCAACAAATTTTCCGCCTCGACTCGCACGGACCGAAAATGTCATAAAAGCTTACTCGGATGGGAGGAGATCCTTTTATCGATTGCAGCATTCAAATCCTATGCAAAATGACATTAAAATTATATTGAAAGTGCCGAAACCACACCGGCCATAAAAGTTTCCTCAGCTCTCATGTAAAAACTCGGTTTGAGGTAATTAGTTTTTTTGGCTCATGTCTGCGCATAGCTCATAAAAGTAAGCTGCCGACAATTGGTTACCAGAGAATGTCATTAGAATATTATCAAAAATAGCACAGGAATAATTACGATTTTATTGCCACGCTTAAGGGCGAAAATTTCATAAGGAAAAGCGCCTTGTAAAAATGAAAAACGTTTTGCCCAATCATGTGGGGAAAGTAAATTTTATTGCTTACTCGCTCGCAAAGCGAAGCTTTCCAAAATAATATTTTAAATAAAAACTGACTAATTCAACTAGCTGAATTTTAAAGCTTTAAATTAGAAATACAAAAAGATATATAAAAGGCCTAGCGAAAGCATAAATTCTATCACTTTCTTCAAACATTACCGAAAGCAGCGTGCTATCAAAGTAATGATGGCCAATAAATAATTTGCTACAGACAATGGACCAGAAAGACTCGAAGTACTTAGTTGCACGACTAGAGACCTGTCACTCCCTGCCACAAAGAATTTGCATATGAATACTTTGGTATCTGCAGGGTTTAATCACATATAACCCCACCCCTTCTGACAGGAATTGTGAAAAATTGGAGAGGACACATGTGATTACGGGGTGTGTGGGGTTGGCCAATGACTAATGATGCTTTCATTTATCTTTAGATTGTTTGCCGTGAAAGTGTTAATGCTTGTAGTCTCCACATAACCTTTCTCTGGTTGCCATGTGCGCATATAATTACTTGGATGGCTGGAAAAGCTTTTGTCATCATTTTAAAATTATTTAAATTTGACTCTGAAATGAGTAGCTGACTAAATGCAATCGCAAAGACATCGTTGATAAATGAGCCACTGATGAGTGACGTTGAAGAAAAGCCAAAGCGAAATGAAAAATTATCGCAATTTAGGTGTTTGCTTTTAAGCTTTTCCTAACCCAAATGGGGATGTGGTCCTTCAAAGACGTTAGCTGGTAATTATAAGGGATTTGCATATGTAATTTTCCGCATTCCCGGACTGAAATTTCCAAGTCATTGAAACGCAACCGTTTGGGGTAGCAAAAATTGGTATATTTTTAGATGTGCTAAGTTTATACATCTATTGGGTAGAAAACTGTGTTTTTCTTTTCTTAAATCCTTGATTACTTTAAGTTCACACATAATCTTTCTAAGACAATAAAAGTAAGCCAGTAAGTCCTTTAATGTGTCTAATTGATACTGCCAGCCATTAAACCAAATAAAACAAGGAAAAAGTGGGGAGAAGGGAAAAGAATGTGAACGGAAAGGCCCCACAGAGATTTGCCAAATGAAAGATTTATGGTGTGCCAGGAAAAACATTTGTGTTTATATTTTAGTGTTGGTTCTGCACTCCACCCCAAAATTCGGGGATATGTGGAGTTTGCGACGGAGGATGTGCCGAAAGTTCATTAATTATGATTGGAGACAGTTGTACAATTAATAAACGAAGCGAAGCGACTATTTCCCCGGATTGTGGTGAAGTTTCATGGATTCGAAGTTTCAGGGATAGAAGGAGAAAATTCTGAGCGGAAACGAGAGTTTCGTTTTTGGCTTTTTCTCTCTATTTGCTTAGCTTGAGATTATGATCGGACTTTGATTTATGGTTGCCTGTGCAAATTTATTGCTTTTAATTGTATGCCCCTCAGGATTCGGAATGGAATCTTTATTTCCCAAACATCAGCCATACGCTGAGTAGTTAGAAGCTAATTGATAAAAGTTTCTTGAGTTATTCTGGCAGTGAGAGAGAAAACGGTGGGAGGTTATATTAGAATAAAATAATCGTAGATTACAGGATCTTGAAGTTATTATTTAGTTATTTTGTGTTCTAGTTTTAATACTTTAAGATTGTGGAGAAAATAGTTCATATTTGATTTAAATATTTTCTGTTTATTCTTCAAATAAATACGAAGTACTATAGAAAAATAATAAATATTGAGAAATTCGATTTGTACAAAACTTGACATTTCACCTTTTTATATAAGGTTTCATATATCATTCGCTTTAGTAAGACTCATTCAAAAACCAATTACTCCCACAGCCACTTCCTCAAACTTCCTGTGTTGTCTTCGAGCACCCCCAATAGAAAGTTCATTTGCACATCATTTTTTCTGTGCATTTAGGTTTCGAATGCAACTTCTCGTTTGCAGACGTTGAAAGGTGGGAGGTCAGGCCTTCTGGAGCCTCAAGGCATTAATTGCATTCTGCAGCATCGCATTGCACTTTCAATTAGTTGCAAATGCCTTGCCCGAAAGTCAGAGAAACTGAATCGAGCCCCTTCCCCTGGTAACAGGAAACGGAAGTTAAGTGCTGAGGCGAGGCGTTAAGTAAATGCAACCCCAAATGAAAGCAAAGGAAACAGGTTCTGCCATCACACTGGAGATATACGCATTAATTGAAAGGTGACGAAGGGAGCAGGGGACTTCGTTCTTAGGGGTTGGCTCTGTTGCAACTTTTGGCCACTGACCAGCTCCAGAAAGTTGACCCCTTCGAGTTGCTGCACTTTGCTCGAAGCCATTTCCTTGACGAAATTGGGGAAAGGGGGAAGTCGGCGGCGGGTTACCTGTCTCTAATGCATTTCAAAATTGATTTATGGGTTTCTTTCGACTGGCTGGCAGCCTTAGACAGATTTCTGTTTGCGTTTGGCCCGTCGTGTTTGTTTTCAATGTTAATTAAGGTTTACAATTACCCATGGGAGCAAGAAGGTGGTAAAAGGGGCCGAAATTGTAATGGTAATTGACCAGCAGTCGAAACGATTTATGTAATTTCACGGGATTCATTTCGTTTAAATCTTAAACGTAATTTTAAAGACGCAATAATATTTATTTAAAATAGGAAATAAGAAAATAATAACTTTTAAAATAACTTAATTTATGGAAAATATTTGACTATTGGTATTCACATTTAACCCTTCAGATATTCAAATTCCTTGACAGATTTTTCACCTTTCCCCTTTCCAAACTCAAGCTTAGGATAGGTTAAGTTGACTGCTCCCGAACAATAGCAATAAATTGCTTTTTAAACACTTGAAGGAAGGACAAGCGTGTTCGAAGTAACATTGGCGTCAAATGCACCTTGGCTCCCACGCTCCTGCAGGATACTCCTCCTTGAATCGGGATTCTGGTCTTATATGCTCCCCGATTCGCTTCGCTTGGCTTCAGTTGGAGCCGAGTTGGCTTACACTTGGCAGCTGACAACTTTCTAGGAATAACTGTAAAGCGATTTGCATATTTAGCTGCATGAAGTTGACTCGAAACGGAGGTGAGAACTTTATCGCTTTTAATGCAGCCAGCCGGGGCACATGCATCACACACTCACACTCGTAAATCTTGGCCAGAAACTTTGGCAGACTACAAATTTATTTATAAACACAAGATATTTCACTTGAGTTTGAATTCTGTCTTAAATAAGAGCTGGGTTGTGTAAAACCGTTAAAGGAGGTAATGAATAAAAAATACTTATAGAAATTAAAAGGGGTGAAGAAAACATTTCTTACAAAAGAAAACTTATAAAGATTTTGAAAGAAATATTTGTAAAGATTATTAAATAAAGAAGAATATCTTATTTTGCGGAAAGCAAATATTTACGCGTTTAAACCATTGGTGTTTTATAACCGTTTAAGATTTTATATATTTTTAAAATGGGGATAGATGCGGATAATAAAATAAATATCAAAAAAATGTTTCTACAATTTGTAGAATACGTATGGGTAGTCCTTTTTTTGAGTAAGGCCTAGTACTCACTTCAATCAAAAAGGCAACAAAACGAAAATTTCTATACAAAAATGACCAGGCGGAAAATTCCTTGATCAAAAATTTGTATGGAGATTTTCATTTCGTAGGCTTTTTGATTGAAGTGAGTACTAGGCATAAGAGCAAACATATTCAATATGTAAAACAGTTTATTCTGTACAAAATACTGGTATAGCATACTTCAACGAGATAATACGTTTTTAGAAATCAATTAAATTGAAAAATTTGGTTGTTTTCAAGGGGTTTCCAAAATACCCTGCTTATCAAACTCCACCAGACTGGCCTTAATCGTCTGACGCACTCGATCGCTGGCAAATAATTGATGACGTTTCTTTAACATAGCCTCCGGATTTCCAAAGGTGTCAACACCGAAATCGGCACTTGCCTCCGGGGAAGCACAACAAATGGGTAGTTCACAAGTAACTGCATAGTAGGCGTACAACAAACAACGCTTCATCTCATCCTTTAATTGATCAAGAGTGGGCAGTGGTCCCTTGAAGCCACAATGTTTTAATGTCTCTTGGAGACTGTGGAAATAATGATTCACAAAAGTATCCTGATTTTCCCGCAGTATTTCATGCTTTATGCTGGTGTAAAAAAGGAAATAAAGGTCTACGGCCGGGCTGCCCCAATAACAGTTTTGGAAATCAACCTAAAATGGAACAAGAATCAGTAAAAATGGGTACATTAAAATACAATTATTTTGTACTCACAATTACCGCCCTTTTATTAGCAGAATCAAACATTATGTTATTTAACCAGGGATCTCCGTGGATAACCGCATTTAGAGACGACTGGTTCGGATCGACCACATTTTTCATTCTTTGCGAATATGCGTCTGGTATTTGTGCCTTCATTTTCTTCGATATTTCCGGCAGTTCGTCGGCAAAAAATTCGGCAGCATATTCGGTACCATCTAAGACGAGGGCCTTGGCGAACGGATCCGAAAGTCCTTTGGCATAATGCGAGGGTGAAAGCTTTGCCACCAATTCGGGTTTATTCTGGTACAATACCATGGAAGAGCCGTGGAACTGAGCCAGTTTCCTTAGGCAAATCTTGGCTTCTTCCAGGTTTAGTCCCTGATAGCGATCGAAAGATCCGTATCCCAGGGCGCACAGATCTTCCAGAATGTAGATCTCCTTTCCAGCAGATGTCTCAGCTAGCAAGCAACTAAAAATCGAAACAAAAAGTTAATATGTTTTTTCAACTTACAAGATCATGAACTTAACATTTTAAAATGGATTTAATTTTAGCTTTTTCTGCACTAATATGAAAGTTTTAAAAATAAATTATAAATTTTAATATTGATTTAATTTTAGCATTTCTGCACTAATATTAATTTTTAATTTTATTAATAACTTTGTCTTTTTACAAGAATTTACTTTTTAAAATCGTTAAAATGTACAAAAACCATTTTTAATTATTTTACGAATATCTTTAAATGCAGCTTAATAAAGTTTTAGATCCATTCTTCAGAGTTCTCTGGGAGAACGTTATTACTTACTCTGCACTCAGCTTGTGCTCGCCAAACTCCGTTGGAGCCCTTTCAAGGATAGCTGACATCGCTGGCAGTAATTGCTCGAACATATCCTTTTCATTCGTTCCCAACTCAGCAGCGACAGGCAACAGATCTTTGAGAACATATTTTCCTGATTCAAGATCGCCATCGGGAGACCTACGGAAGTCCAACGCCACCCGGTAGATGACGCTGCAAAAGTTCTCGCCTTTCTGGCTCACCACCTCGATGTGAAAGTTTTCCACCCGCAGCTTTTCGCAACTATACGCTCTCGCCAAAGCTTTCTCGAAATATTTCGCACTATAGTTTTCCCGCTCCATAGTTTTACGTCCGTTCTGAACAAACCTCGCCAACCGACTAAACCCATGTGGGTTGCACTACTTATGAAATTCACTCCGGGGTTCCCTCAGATTTATTACACGTATAGCTGGGAGCTTTGTCGTTATCACTACATGATCAACACAGAGCAAAAATTATTTTTCACTTAAAACTTTACATCTGTTGCATTTCAACATTGACGAAATTATCTTACTTTTAATTCTCACGTAATTGTGATAGAATTATAATACTACTTGGTACTTGCACTCAATGCAATTAATGCGTTTCATAACACAATTTTGATATGGGGAGTTTTTGGATTAGTCTTTTAGGGCAGTAATTTTATTGTAACAGATATAGACTTTGTCTATGGAACCAAAAAGATTTATATTCTTTACCATTATTTATAATTGATTATAATTTATTTTAATAAATAAATAAATTAAACAGTTTTTTTTTGTCTGTAGATATGGAGCAAAACTGAGAGCGGAACAATAATAAAATGCGTTTGTTAAGCACACCCCAAACAAAGAGGAATTGTCTGTTGTTTAATTAAATCACGGCACTAAATTATAAATAATAAAAATGGGTTAAGTGATGGCCTTGAATGACACGGGTTGAAGGTTGTTCCGCTCGAATTTTGTACACGGGGTAACAAATTTTAAGTAAATAGTTTTACCTGCCCACACCTAAGCTGCTTCTCGACTTTATTAAATTCCATTTTTCGGTTGTCTTTATCTTAATCCAAAAATTTCTTCTTATTAGGCTTCTAGGAAAACTGTCTTACTTTGGAGATTAAAATGATAAGATTACCACATGGAAAAATCTTAATATCACGTTTCAAGCTTGATGTTTATCATAAAATTAAATCCTGCTACTTTATTAAAATGATTGTGGAAAGGAAAAATCCCTGTCCAGCTTAATAATTTACAATAATTAAAACTGTGTTGTTCTGTGGATTTTTGTTGGCTACGTTTTAATAGACCTAAACTATTGTTTATAAATGGTGAAAACTTAAATATATGTATAAAAATATATGGGCACTTCCAAAAAAAAGTCCACCAAGCCAAAAACCTTGATACTTGAATAAAACATATTTCCACATGATTTTGCCCCGATATTAGTTTCTAATTAGTTGTATACTGCGCTTAACTACAAATTTGGAGTATAGTTTGATTACACAGGTACACAGCCAAAAATTTCCACGAACCATTTCAAGTTTTCCATGATATTTGGGTGCTCCTGAGTAAAAGTCCCATACAAAATTATTTTCCATCACCTACAGGTTCCGCGGTATAGCTAAGAATACAAAAAACCGATGTTTGCCGACATTTTGAATTACGTGGCCTATATAATTGGACCAACCTTTATTATTTTCGGTAGGACCTACTCTCAATACATCAAGGCATTCCTAAAAAATAGTCCCCATTGTGAACCATTGCCCATGTCTTTGGAATTCGACGCCAAAGTTGAAAATCCCAAAATTGTAGAGATTTTTCGGATGGAAAAACAATTCTGAGGATTAAATCTTGAATGGAAGTAATTTTAACTATTCATTGTATCTATTGTTCATTGTATGCTTTAATTTCGGTTTAAAGCGATTTCATGAGAATATTTTTTATTGGATTTATTATACTAATAAAACCGTTGTTTTTATTTCATTATCTACTCCTAAATGTTGTCAAATTTTAAAAAAGTCAAGGCATCCTACAGAATGGGAGTAAACATTTACATTTCTCTGTGTATGTTCAGTGAACGTATTTTAGTTTCTTAGTTCTAGAGGTTGCCATGACTTATTCAAAATTTGACAACATTTAGGAGTAGATAATGAAATAAAAAAATCGGTTTTATTAGTATAAGAAATCCAATAAAATGTTCTCATGAAAACGCTTTAAACCGAAATTAAAGCATACAATGAACAATAGATACAATGAATAGTTAAAATTACTTCCATTCAAGATTTAATCCTCAGAATTGTTTTTCCATCAGAAAAATCTCTACAATTTTGGGATTTTCAACTTTGGCGTCGAATTCCAAAGACATGGGCAATGGTTCACAATGGGGACTATTTTTTAGGAATGCCTTGATGTATTGAGAGTAGGTCCTACCGAAAATAATAAAGGTTGGTCCAATTATATAGGCCACGTAATTCAAAATGTCGGCAAACATCGGTTTTTTGTATTCTTAGCTATACCGCGGAACCTGTAGGTGATGGAAAATAATTTTGTATGGGACTTTTACTCAGGAGCACCCAAATATCATGGAAAACTTGAAATGGTTCGTGGAAATTTCACAAAGTTTAATTTTGTGTTCCTGTGTTATTTTTATGACAAACCTCACCAATATACGCAAAAATCAGTTTTTGGCTATTTTTTTGTTATTTTTTGGACCTGTCTTCTATTGTTAATTTGTCCTATAGGAATGCTAATATGTGACATTTTTCTGTACTAAAACCTTCATTCACATACTAAACTATTAAGTTAAAAGCAAAACATCCAGCAATTGAGAGATAGAGGTAAAGAAATCCGCTTTACAAAACAGTCGGAAAAAATGTCCCGAGCGACATGTCCCGAGCGAATGTGGTTGAAACTGCATAAAAAAAAACGGCAAATAATTTTTGAGTGAAACCAAAAGCATTTCACAGCGACATGTTTAAACAACATTCTAAAAAAAATCGCATTCAAATATTCCATCAGAATTCGCTAATTTCTGGTGTTGTATGAACTTCCCCGAAATCCACTTCTATTTTTGTCCCGAGCGAATACGGCAGTTTTTTACCGATATCTTAAAAACTAAAAGTGGTACAAAATCAAGATTTTTACCAAAAATAGAGCTTGGGAAGAGTGAAAAGAAAAGCCCATAATTAAAATTAAAATCCATTGTTTTACAATTTTTTTTCAACTTTAAAGGTGTGCAAATGTCCCGAGCGACATTTTGGAATAGAAAATCAGATAATATAATTTTTGTCATAATTGTTTCATAGATGTATATTCTGAAGAAATATAATTCTGCGATTACTATTGCTATGCTAATGCCTCATAGAAAACATAAAGTAGGATTTATGACTTCCTTATTTCTATTTGAATATCTTTGATTCAGTTCAGGATCATTTTGGGATCATACAAGACATTTTGGGAATGAATTATACATACATATATTTAAGTTTTTCCTACAATTTTCCACTGCAATATAAGATCCAAACAAATCCATGTTCCCCAAAGCAGACATCGCTTAAAGCGTGCATTTGGAATTGTGGAAATATGGACTTATCTTTGTGGTGATCATCATTTCCGATGTTATTATTATTATTATAGCCTTTTATTATTAAAGTATATAATGCAATTGTTTATTCTCACCAATCTTTGCAATTTTTGTCAACAAATCGGGGTAAATCAACACTCATCGGCATGTGAAGTGAAGCACGCTTGGGATATCAAACCACAGATGCTGCACGCAAACTAGGTAACGAAATTGGTATTCCAACACACGATTAATACAGCTTTAAATTGCTAAAAGAGAAAAATCAAATGATATTTCTAAAATTATACACTAGTTCAATGCGAAACGAACTGGTTCAAATGAGCAATATGTCAGCTGTTCTTCTGGAGCGATAAGTTGAACCAACGCTAATTAATCTGTAATCGATTTTAATGTTTAGCGGTGAATTTAAATATTGCTATGTTTGCAAAATATATTTTAAATTTCCAAAATAACATTTTAAAAAATACAATATGGTTAGTTTGATTCTCAATGTTGTGAGCACGTGTAAGATCTTATTCTCGTGGAAGAATGAACCATTTTGAACCGAAAAATATATTAACTAAATTAATTAAATTGTTCAGTATATCTCCTAAGTTCATATTTGCCGTTTAAACTTTTTAGTACTTTATTAACAGATTGGTTTAAATTCTGCACTTATTCAAACCCTAAAAACTAATACTAAAATGTCTAAACATAACAATTAATAACTACTCAAACGTGCCTTTTTCCTGTTTCAGAGCAGCAAAGAAGTCGATGTCGAGCAATTTAGTAGGATCAAATTTCACAGCTGACTTTACTTTCTTCTGGGCATCCGCGTTCTTGACAATTCGGTTCCATTCTGAGAGATCGTTGGCTGGATTGTTGCGATTGGCCTCCTGATGGAGAGGTTTCAGCATGAAATGAGCTTTTTCCAGCTGGTTTAGCAAACGCACTAAAGTGGGATAAGAATTTTAAGAAGTTAGGAATGGAAAAAAAGGGAAAATTCTTTGTTAAGTTACAGTGTATTGGCTGGAAGCCAAGTAAGTCTGCATGTTCGCTCCACCAGTTGCAAATTAGGCTGAGGTAGTGCTTTGTCGTCTCCTCGGAGTCGCGGAAAAGGCAGGTGAGGTAATATTCATGAAACACGAGGGTCAGCAGGTGCACAGCAATGCGGGAAATCTCGCCAACCTCATCGGTGCCTAAGAAACAGATGAAGAATATTATTCGTTATACTATTATAATTTTTTTTTTTTTTAAAAAATTCTTATTTCTTATCTATAAAAAAACCCACCTGATTTTCTCTCGTGCAACATCCATTGGTGCATTACTTGGAAGACAATCGTAACCGCACTAAGGCATAATTTCACATAGCACTCGCAGTCTTTGCTGCGCTGCGTTGAACTCGAGTTAGAATTTGAGTTTAGATTAGAGTTTGAAACGGACGCTGATGAAGATCCATTGGACATCGACCCATGGACCGCTCCCGTGGTGCTGCAACTCAAACTGCTGCCCGCTTTCATCAAAGTGCTGTCGCCGGAATCCTCCTCTCCAACATCTGTGAAGTAAGGCAGCATTTCCAAAATGAAATCCGGCGGATTCTTGAAGCACTCGAACGCAAAGCGCACGTGATTTCTGCCGATTTGAAGCAGCAGCTGGAAGTGATCCGTTCTCAGAGGAGTCTCACTAAAGAAGCATAGCTCCAGTAAGCCCGCATAGACCTGTAGTAAACAGGAGTCGGGCCCAAATCGATAAGTGGAGCGAACGCGATCCGAAACAAAGCTGTCCTTGGGACTATTTACACACATCTTATCTAACAGTTGAGGCTGTCGAAGGCAGCTCAAGAAACAGCAGCTAAGCTCAGCAAAAACCCAAGGACTGGGTCGGGTAAATACCAGCTGCTTAAGCAGATCAAAGAGCAGCTCCTCATGCTGTTGAGGCAATCGCTCTTCTTTCAGAAGGCTATTCAGGAGGGAAGTCAGGGCTTCCAGCAAACCAAAATGTTTACCAACATCGTAGGAAAATCCCAGCTTTATAACAGCTTCGGTTGCCATCTCAATTAGTCCCAGATCCTTTTCTTTCCACTCCAGCAGAGCTCGTGAAATCCTCTCCTCTTGCCGGCAAATCAACGCCAAGGTAGCCATGTAGCGACGCAAAGGCACAGCCCTTTCGTATTCATACAAGCTACCGTGCTGGGGAAGGGAAATGCGGTGAACTCGCTCCTCGAGGTTGTACGGATTGTAAGGATATAACATGCAGTTATGTGGGAAGTCCAGGCTTTGAGCATACGACGCAAACTCCTTGAAAACTTTGCCAACGGAAGAGAGTATCCTTGGAATGAGTTTATCCAAAGATTCCGGCTGCGCTTGCAACTGAGCGTAATAGAGCAGCAGTTGCTTTAGCTCTAAATCGAAAGGGTTTCCCCGTCTCTTACCCTGATCCTCATCCTCGCTATATTCAAACATACTGCCATTGCTTGCTTTTAACCTGGGCACAGGTCTGTGTATGTTGAGCCTCTGAAGGCGGAGTAGCGACCGCTTCGCTAACGGATCTGGGGCAGCCTGCAAAATGCTGGAATTCATACTTTTTTCATGGGCTCTTTGCTGTGTTTTCAGCTTGCTGAACTCGGCGTTCTTCATCTTCAATTCGATGTCCTTCGCCGCAATTTGTTTGGCCGCCTCCGCCACTTTTTTGTTGCAATCCCGGTTTGTTTCGTCGGCCAAAGCCAGCTTCTCCATCTTGCTGGCCTGCAGCTGCTGGCGGACGTGCTTCAGCTCATCGCGAAGCAGGGTAACCTGGGGAAATTAAGAGAATTTAGTTGGCATTTGTTTTATAAAATCACCTGCTTAAGGGCCCATTAAAGTATATTACTTTTTTTTTACATTTTGATTATAAATTTGTTGTTAAATAAAGTGAACTTTTTTGTTTAATTAAAATCCTTTTAAAGGTAATTTTAAAAATTATACTTTTTTAGCAAAGTAAACTGGAAGACTGCATATTTTCTATATTCAAAAGACAAGATTAAATTCTAATAAAAATAATTGTAGGTTTTGATGCGTTCTTTTCCCGGGTCTAGTGCCACAAATATATCTTTCTAATATTATTAATTTTTCAGGATCCTTAAGATGTCACGCACTTTTTTCAGTTAATCATAGTAAGTTTAAAAAGGTATATCTAAAGTATCCTCCACTAAAGAAATTTCCCTAGATTTGGATTTTCAATTATTAGGTATAAAAAGATAGATAACCCAGTGGGTTAAACCCACCTCTCCCGACTTGATCTCGTTGCGTTCGTTGCTGTCGCCCAGATTCTTTTCCAGCTGGGCCTTCTCCCGCTTAAGGGCTTCGATGCGATCCATTAGGAACTTGAGTTGGTGCTCCTGCTGGCGTGATTGTGTGGCATTGATGGTGGTCGTGGTCTTCTGCTGAACGGTGATGCTGGAACCTGTGATCCTACTCGTACTGGGCTTCGAATCCGCCAGCTTCTGAGGCTCGCTGTCGATGAGGGTTACGGCGAGGAAGTCAAAGTCATCGTCGTCCCCGAAGATGGCTTCCATGTCCAGGGAGGTGGACTTCTTTTGAGGCGGTGGCGGCGGGGGCGGAAACATTTGCTGGGTGCTAGTCGAACCCTGACCCGTAGGAGCAAATTCGCTGAAGGTCACCTCGCTGTGGGCCATGTCCACCTCCGTTCCCGCCTTCTTTTTGCGCTCCTCCGCCTCTATTTCGGCCTCCGCCAGCTGGGTGGCCATCAGGATGACGTCGTCGTCATCGTCATCCCAGAAGATGCCCTCGAAATTGTTCCGCGGAGGACTGGGCCGCGTTGATCCGCGCGTCACGCTGACATCCAGACGCGGTTTCTTGGCCCGCGCAAAGTCCTTCATGGGCCCAAATCGCTTGGAGGCCATGATTCCTCCAGGTTCTCTCCTTTTGTGTTACTTTCTGGCCATAAGAGGAGGAAGGCAATTTTGCCGGTTTGTTGTGTTTATAAAATCACAAACAGATGTCACTATCGATACATTGTGATTGTATGTCATATCGAGTAAATCGTATCGAACAAGATGGTGCGTTTACACTGTGTCTATACTTCAAACGATCAATGTACACTACGAACTCGGTTAGCGGTCATATTATTATTGTAAAATACTTTTTTATAGAATTTTTTGTTTTATGTTTGTCAGCTGTTATCGGATGGCGGATGTCATCCGTTGGAATCGGAGTTATAGGGTCTTCCCACAGAGCTCCATCCACCATCTACCATCCGTTGAACGGATGGTCCGTAAGGTTTTGCCGTTCCGAAAATTTCCCGGTTAGTCCGCCATCTAATTTTGACGGACTTTGACGGGCTCTTTTATGCGATAGTTAGGCGATGTTTTCTCGGTGCAACTCTGAATTCTTCCTCTTGGGGGCTGTCCATATATTACGTAATCACGTTTTTGGTGATTTTTGACCCCCTCCCCCCCCTGGTGATCAAACGTAATCATTCAATAAACAACCCCCCCCCCCCCAATGATTACGTAATCCCAAGAATAAAATTTTTTTGTTTTAATCTGTGGATTCAAACGGAGATGCAACCCAATCTTATATATTGTTTATAAATGGAGTTTGGTATGACACATTCGGTTCGTCTACGCTGAAATTATCTCCAACATACTCTTCAAGCCATTCCAGGTCTTCGCGTCCTTCGTGTGATTGAACCACTAAATATTTTCTTTTTCGCCGCCCAGCCACTAAAAAAATTTTTTCTCTGCTTTCCTATCTAAGTTTGTAGATATAATTAAAGGAAAAAAGTTTTTAAATAAATTCTTTAAATAAAAAAATTTATATAAAATGATTACGTAATCATTGTGCAAGACCCCCCCCCTCCCCATGTAATCAAACATAATCATTTCAATGACCCCCTCCCCCCCCTAGGTGATTACGTAATATATGGACAGCCCTTTGACTGTGAAAATTGGAACGATGACTGCGAGAACAAATCAAATCGATGGCGGAAAAAAATTAAATAATGCTTCAGTTCATTGTTTTTCGGATTTTTTTTAATTATTTGTAGTTTGTTATGATCGGAAAAGCGTTCGCAAGCTGGTTGCTATGTGTGGGCCAAAATGTAAGCTGTTGTGCGTACGAAAACATCAGTGATTGCAGCAAAGTGTCAGAAGTGTCTGCACTTTGTAAATATAACTAACATTAATTAAAAGTGTACTTTGTACTCCCATAAAGTTCCAAAGTTGCGATAAATTACCAGAAAACAGCACAAATTTTTTTATTTTCATATTTTTAATATTAATATTGGCTAGGCAGAGAGAACAGGAGTTTAAGATTTGTCAAAAGATCCAACAGTCTCTCGTTAATGTTCTCAGTGGAACTATGCTATTCCAGATAATATCGATGCTAATGTCGATGTTTCTCCTCACCTCAACGTCACACTCCCAACTATCGATTGTGGTGTATCGGCATGCACACTGCTTTCCTATTAACCTCAAAGGAAAACCAAAGAACTGAACGCAAACTGTAGCGCAAAACAAGCGAATTTCAAGGGAAGTAGAGCTGTGCAACGTGTGCAGACCTTTCGGGAGGACGGGCGGCGCGAATGGGACGCCATGCCAGCGAAGCGGATGACGGCCACCACAGCAGCAGCTTCGTCCATCAGTGGAGCCAGTGGGTCCACAGCGACTAGCAATGGTCCGTCCGGGGGCGGGGCACGCCCCCTGGAGACGCTCAACGGGATGACCAGGCTGACGCCCGCCCGCGATCTGACCCTCGGTGGGCGTGGCGCCGGGGCGGCCAGCAAGAAGGTCTTTGCTCCCAATTTAAATGCGGTGCGGAACAAAAATGCGTGAGTGCTGGGATAGGCAAAGAAAATCCAAAATTTCATCATCTACTCCAAACCACAGCAATGTCAAGACCTCCAAGGACACCACCCAGCCCAGGAGCGGCCGGCGGGGTGGGCGTGGCAACGGCACAGGAGCAACACGTGGTCGTGGAGGAAATTCCGCTGGCGGGGGCAACTCCACGCTCATCCAGACCCAGGGACTCTTCTCCGAGGGAGCGGGCGATGCACACGTGCGCAGGTCCACGGGCAATGGAACGGCCTACGCGAGGGGCGGTGAGGAGGTGGCCGTGGCCAGGAAACGGGTGGATCGCAAGGACGACAAGGGCCAGGCCGAGAGGATCAAGGAGCTTCTGGGCGAATCGGAGGCCAGCGATGCCGAGCTCAGCGAGGAGGAGGCCACCAAGACTGAGATGGCCCTCAGGCCCATCCTGCTGAAGGAGGGTAGGTGTTGTGTGTGAAGCTTCGTTTTCTTCATAATATCCTTTAATTTTCTTCCAAAACTCAGGACTTTGGGTCACCCAGAAGACACCGATTGTTAAGCAGGAGGATACCAGTTCAACCTCGACACAGAAGGGTAAGGTATGCACTAGACAAATTGTTATATTCTAATCTTAAATTATCTTTTAGACACCTTGGCAGTGGCCCAGCATCTGCAGCAGCTGCATGTGGCCGCCCAGGTGGCCAGTTTAGAGGAACCACCGCTGCAATACGGTCGCTATCCGCGCACCATAGGAAACTTTCTGGACTCCAGTCAGTCGCAGATCTTTCTCATGCAGCTCCCCGATGTTTTGCCCTGTGTAGGCGATGATTCCGAGGAGCCAGAAACATCTAAACCGGATCCGCTAGCCAACAGTGAATCGGAGCCCTCAAGTCCTGCAGCGAAATCCAGCTCCAGCGGAGCCAAGGGAAGTGTGCTGCGGCAGCTGGAGGAGGGGCAGATCGGCAAGATTCTGAGGTACAAATCGGGTCGCGTTAAGCTGCAGCTGGGAGATACCCGCTTTGATTTGGATATGGGCCTCGATCCGGGTTTCCTGCAGGAGCTTATGTCTGTCACTGCGAACCGCGAGCAGCGCAGCGGCAACATGATAAATCTGGGACCCATCCAAGCCAAACTCAAAGCCACTCCCGATTGGGTTCATCTCTTCGAGCAGCAGGAGGCGGCAGCCAAACAAACGAATCCGGTACCGAGCACGTAGCATCCACTCCTCCTTAGTAGATATGTAATATTGTAAATAGGCTGCGCCTAAGTCTAAGTTATTCCTACTCTAAATGCCGTATATAAAATTTAAATATAGAAATTTGTAATACGATGGGATTTTCTTTTCTAAGGGAAACATTAAATTGTTCTGGGCATCATTTGCTTAAAACTGATAGGTATAAAAAGGAAGATGATCGAACTGGGCTTTATATTTAGATATTTAAACACCTATTTTCATAACTCCTTTTTAAAACAATTATTTTCTATTATGCTGAATAAAAAATAGCGCATGTATGAATTTCTAAATTTAGTTCACATTTATAAGAAATCATTTTTAGCTAAAAAAGCACTTTTAATGTAACAACAAACTAAGACAATCGATTAATTACTCAAGACCTGCTGGTTGGGTTCGGGAGTGGCATCCGGGAGCTGGGAGGTGCCTCGTCCCTGGTACAGATTCCCGGCCAGGTCGATGGCGAAGTTGTGGTCCACGGGATTGGCCAACGCGGTCTCAATGGCGGCGTCCAAGTTTTCCCTGGTGATGTACGTCTTGGAGCGCTCGATCTCGAGCAGAACCCGCTGGTTGGCCTGCTCCCGGCGCTCCTCCTCGCGCACCTGTCGTGCCTCCAGTCGCTCCTGGACGTAGGCGACCTTCTCCTCTCGCTCCTTGGCCAACCGCTGATCCCGCTCCTTGGCAATGGCCGCGTTCCAGGCGGCATTGGCATCCAGGCACTTCTGGAACTCGGCCTCCTCCTGCTCGGGAGTGAGCACGATGTGGTCCGCGGTGGAGGTCTCCTCGTGGCGGACGACTTCCTCCCTCAGAAACTGACGAACTGAGCGCAGTTGGGTTCTGTAATAAGGGGTAAAAGATTTTGTTTTAAAATTCGATCTGAAGAATGTAAGCATAGAAATGAAAGGAGGATGGTAAATATCTCAAAATAAATGTAACATTTTTAAAAATTCAACAATCCTTTATTATTGAAGATTTAAATTGTTGGATTTATGGATTTCTTATCCGTTAGAAATTAATGTTTTTAAATATTTTAAATTAATATTTAAAAATGTTTTAGTTTTTTTTAGGACAGGTCTTAAAATATAAGTTATAAATCACAAAATGATTAAATTTCCTATAAATATTTTGATAGAAAAATATTATATTTTGAAGAGGGATTTCTGGCGAGGATTACAGGCACACCTCACCATTGCAACTAATAAAATAGTTTAATTTTGGGTCAGAATCTGCAATGGTCCACCTACTTGTACTGGTTGTGGAGCCTCATGAGCTCCGTGCGCTCCTCCTCCGTCTGCTTCTTGCGCTCGGGCACGCGGAACATCTTGCTCTTGGCCACCGGCAACCAGCGCGGCTTCCGGCGCCAGCGGACGAACTCCAGGGCGAAGCTATTTCCACCCGTCTTCCCGGCGGGAAGGGCGGACTGCGTCAGCAGTTGGCACCCAGCTCGCAGCATTTTCCTGGCAGTTTAATTAAAAATGATTAATTTTTATTTCGCCGCTGCGGATCTGTTGTGCAACTCTGGAGGCGAACTAGTTCCATGAAGTTCGATTGTTGGTTCCGACAGTGGTGCCAATTAAGGCAATCGAACCAGCACAAAAAAGCCAGAAAAATTTAATGAAAAAACGTTACTGGCTCACTGTCTTTTAGTTTTCTTTAATTTTACAGCTATATAAGTTTGTAAGTACTATGGTAACAAAAAGTATCATAATATTTATTTATAATGGTTTTTAGGACGCATGATTACCATTTTTTTAAATTTAATATTAACTTAACTCTTAGATTTCACATTAGTTATAGTACGTACACCCTTAATATTAAAATTTTTCAAATTGTTCCTTTTCTTTTTCTCGTCCGCATGTTAAATTTAAAGTACGCTTTAAACTCGGAGTTTCCATAAATTTTCAAGGCTTAAAGTCTACTATCTCTAGTTTACCAAG